CTAAACATGATCTTTTAAATGGCGTTATTCATTTTTGAGTTCCGATTTATGGAGTAGAATTTTTGCAGAAGAAAATGACTGACACTGTCAACAAAAGAAATTTTCAATAATCAACGCTAAATCCTAGGTACTTCAAATTTGCACTTCATTGCAATAAAATTTAATGGGCTACAAAACTGCATACTCAAAATCTTTCTAAGAAATCTAATTAAAAAGCTCGAAGTTTTTACGAAAGTTTGTTGAATTTTTTTCAAATGTTGCACATAGCTTGGGACTTAGGTTTATTCGGTATTTGTTAAAGAATAAACTAGATTTTTATAAAAATTAGCCAAACTAAAATAAAAAGAAGATAAATTGTTAAACTTGTCAATATATGGAACGCTTATAACTAAATATGACAGGGAGTGTATTTATTTACATATCGCACACCGTCTTCATAAGAGGTAACTACAACTGGAAATTACCCGTCGGCAGAAAATGCGAAAAACTAGTTATTTCTCAGCACATTCTAATCATATGGGACTTTACTTTAGGATTTTTCAATAAATTACAACAAAGGTTCAACAAATTTGCTGAAAGGTTTTGTGTACATTTTTAGTGCATAATTTCAAAAATTCCAAATTTACAGTTGTCACTTTTAATGATCGTGTGCGATATGTATGAAATAATTTACACCAAAATCGAATTATTCACTAAGAGTTCCAGTCCGGCTATTAAAACAACTAAAACCCATCTTCTGTAAACTATTTCGCAGTGAAATGCGTACGTAATTTAGTAAGCTGGTATAGAGATTTTTAGTAAAAAAAATAACTGACGCTTTTTTGTCGACAACTTCGTCCATTTATTCACATTTTAGAAGATTTCGCAGTTAATTTGCGTGCCGCAGAGTATTAAAATTAAAATTTTATAAATCTTAATACGGCTCCACGCATACTAACTAGTACCAGTTGCGTCGTTTTGCATTGAAGTGATGAATAGAATGGTTTTATACTTTAGAAGTATTTTTATTATTTTTTTCAAGCCATGAAAAATTGTGCGTATATTTTATTAATTGCTTCCAAAAAGTGATACCAAGACCTGTTCATGATAACTATTTTTAATTTTTCGAAATTAAATTTTGCAAAACCTATTTTTCTTTTCTTTCATTTCTTTTCACAAGAAAATATGCATTTTGAGCTACAATCGAGCTGAATCCCTAGTAGGTACTTTTTTCCGGAGATATGATTTTTTTTTAGAAAAAATATATTTTTCTGGTAATATCTATTCTTACTACCATGTAGTCAATAATTTTCACACGAGAGATAATTATTTGTTATTATTATTTTCTTGGAATAAAATAAATTTTATATAAATAGTTGAAGTCCATTATTTTTAACAAAATTTGTAGGCATTTGGAAAAAAATTGCCCAGATATCGATTTTTATCTAAAAAACAAAATAGCTTAAGGTCGGCCAACAATTTTTTTCGAGCAAAATAAAAATACGGGTGTCATTATGTGGACCAATAAACAATAAACTACAACACAATTTGCATACCATTTTCATAATATTACCCTGTCATTACCATCAAATAAAAAGGCAATAAACAAATACTTTACACCTACATACATTCATACATATATTTAATTAAGAAACGCCAAATTGCAACTACAGTAACTATTCAGTATGGAGAGGGGAATAAATTCACAAAATAAATCAATTGTGACGCCAGCGATGTCATTCATGAAATCCCAGATTAAAAAATGGGAGTATTGTTTTCCACATTTCATCTCAAGTTGCCCTGTTGCCGCACACATGGCTGCTTTTCTTTGTAGCAAGTGTGTTGTATTCAAAATGAGGGCATATTTCCATTTTTGCTATTGTATTTGTTGTTGGTGCTGTGTAACTTTTGCTCAACATGATTGTAGTATTGTTGTCATTTGTTGCTACATTTAACAATCTTTGAAACTTACTCCCCCATACGCTACGAAATGTTGGGTCCATTTTATGGTTTTACACCCGGTAGCATGGGAATTTTTATATTTTGCATGCATATGCTTATGTACTCTTATGTAGGCCAACACATCATGAAGGCATGTAATTAATAGTACATTTTTTATTATTGTTGTAAATAAGCTTGCACATGCATAGCAACAAGTAGGTATGACTGTAGGAATAGTCTCATTCACTAAATCGTATAATGTTCGCGTTGAATGTTTGCTTGCATATTAGCCTAACAGATGCAGTTACATATTTGTATTGAAAAGTTCGTCGCTTAAGTCTTTCGATTTGTTGTATTATAAAATACATACTGCACTGAAACGCCGCTTTGTAAAATTCTTAATACCAACCAAAATATATAAAAGCTGCTAAATTATTTTTTTGGTAATAATGTATTAAATGTATATGCATAGTATATGTATGTACATCAGGGTGGCCCAAAAAAATAGGAAAAATACATTTTTTCGTAGAATTGCTATAAAATTGTTAAAAATAAATATTCTTTGATCGAATAAGACTATTTCCCTTCAAAAGACTTCATGAAATAAATAAATTTTGGGCAATAACTGCACAGAAGGGACTCCACAAAAGCACATTCAAAACAATTCGAAATGAAAAACAGAAGCAATAAACTGTTTTCAATAAAATGACGATGCCAGAAGAAGGTCAGATTTTCCAATTCAGAACAAAGGCAAAGCAGAAGCTACTTTCCAGTTCACGTTCTCTGTGAATGTGATGCTATCGCTAGGCGCAGATTAGCTCACTTAGGTTGTGCAACATCTAATCCTTCTAAAATTTTTAGCAAAAAACAACGGACAGTAAATAGATTCCGGTGTTTGTGGCCCTGCTTAAAGTTTGAAACCCATAGACTCTATGCCGATAGTAAAAAGACATATACCTACATGTTCACCTCGGTAAAAACAAGGTCAATAGCTGGCTTCAACGCCAGTTTCCACCTTTTAAAACTTAATTTAAATTTGATTAAATTAAGTTAATAAGATTAATCAGGTATCGCAATACGGGTAACAAATGGAAAAAGGTTTAGGAAACTCAATTAAAAAGCATATTTTTTGGGAGGGGTGCATCTTGTTTTAAAACTTAAATTCCTTTTATCGATTAGGTCAAATAGATCAAAGAAAGATCACTTTCCAAAATATTTTAAAGAAGGTTGCCGCCGGCTTGAACAGTTAAATTCGATTGAACCATATACATACATATCGTCGTTTAAAGTGCAAAACCGCGTATCAGCAAAATGCAAAACCACGTATATGAGGTTGCATAAATTATTTTTTAGAGAGTAAAAACACTCATATTTCAAAGTGGTTCTCTTTTTTATAAAGAAATTGCATATCTGGATAGCATATTTCAGGACGAATGGATAAGGATTAAGCCAAGAGCTTGTGTGAGCAAATCCAATTTTCGGCAGCCAATGTCAGTTACGCGGTTTTGCAGAATGTCAATACGAGATTTTGTACTTTAAACGACGATATGTATATAAATAAGATTGCTTATAGATTGACATCGACATCCTCTATGTTGCCACCTGATAAATAATTAAATGCAATTAAATTAAATGAACTACTACAATACGGATATCAATGAAATGGTTTTGGAAAGGCTAAATTTCAAAACTACACGTTATTAGGAGCATCCTACTTACATATATGGCTATTATTCTGTACTTGACTAGAGCCAAAAAGTGAGTAGCAACATACGGTGACGCTAAAAAAATCTCCATTATAGTCAAATTTGATTTAAAAAAAAATTGCCTCTTTCTCTGCAAACGCACAAGAAAAAAATTAAAATCAAAACAACCAATAAAATGCTTCTTACCACACTAACTGTTTACGGCAACTGAAAGCTACCATGTAAGTTGTTTATCTTCGAGTTTCTTTTAATATTGATGACATTGCTTTAGTTTTAACGAACATATTGTTGTTGTTTTTTTTGAAGCAACTGATATTTTGACTGCGCAATGTAAGCAATTGACAAACGGACCATCCATAAATTTGTAAAGTAATGCACATTTACGGCAGCAAAAAATACATGCAATTGCAAAAAATAGGCAAATAAATTTCAACTAATAATAGGCCAAATCGAGTGTAACTGAACTGAGCTAAAAAAAGTATTTGTCCCACTTTTTTTAGCTCAGTTCGCGCAAAGTATTTGTGTGCATAAAAATGTATGTAAAAATTTAAGTAACCAAAAAATATTGACATTTGCACATTTCAATAGCATATCTATTTGTACATCAAACAGCAAAAAGTTTGAAGTTGGTAAACAAATTTCTTGAACTTAGTAATTATGTACATCCAAGAATTCGTATATACAATTACTTATGTATGTACATACCCTTTAAACATTTTCTGAGTGTTTAGAATTTATGAGTCTAAAATGAGTATTTCTTTCGTTATAAATATGATTATGAGACAAGTCAAACAAACTGACTCATTTCGGACTCTTTTGGTGTCATAAATTCAGAGTTGAACAAAAGTAACAAAGTTCACAAAGAAGTTTATCAGTAATCAGAATTATAAAGAATATCTTTTTTAAGACTCAGAAAAGCGTCATATTTCAGACTCTAATAGGACTAATAACTTGGACGCGTATTGGAATGCCCTACTGTGAAGGAAAATATGCTCTGTTCTGACTCTTTTTTTGAGCTCATAAAGGGTTACAACTTTTTCAACTATAAAATAAGTCCGAAGTTTTATAGGATATATATGTATAAATAAAACACATGTACACACATGATTCCATAATAAAAGGCTTGCTCAGAAGGCTCTCTCCCTCTTAACAAATTCGGCACCCTTAGCAAGGCACTGTGTGGGTTCGTGTGTGTGTGTGCTAAGCTTTTGTCAGGGAGTTAAGGGAGTTTCAAAACTCGAATTTCACTAGTGAGCAAACCTTTAGTTATTGAATCATGATGTATACATATATATCCAAACTACGAGTGTAGCAAACATCAAACATTTTCTCAAACTTACTACAAAAAATTTTACTTCTTTTTTTTACTTTCAGTTCCCAAACCATACGTCCCTGCACCCATCCATTATGATTACGATGATTACGGTCACGGTGCTCAGTATGAATATGTGCCGCAATACAGTGGTCACTATGGTGGCGGCGCCGGTTATAATGGCCACTACGAAGGACACTACGGTGGACACCATGGGGGGCATTATGGTGGCCACTACTGAAAGAACGAAATGCACGCAGCCAGCATTTTAGAGCAGAGTACAACTCTCCCAGCATCATTAAAGGGATGGCGTTAAGTTTACGCTAACCATCATTGACTCTTCATGTCCTCCTTCCGTTTTCCAAACTGCCTGTCTTCCACTTAATCGCCAATGCTTTTAATACACACATATTTTTTAACTGAAACTACTATAAAACGCTACTATCCATCAATTAGCTTATAAGTCTGTATTGCTTTTAATGTAATTTGTTTTATTGGTTGTTGTACAATATAAATTGTGAGCAAGCTTTAAGTATCCAATATTGTTGCAAATTTTTATGTGCATATGATAATTATCGATTCAAATATTTACTTAGTTGCAAGTTAATTAACAAATAATACACACTGCATTCGATCTAAAATGTTGTCCACCATTCTTGTAAAAAAAAAAAACTATTTATATGAACGTATGTATGTAAGCGAAGAAGATGATTTACGTTGTAGCATTTTTGTAATTTTTTATTTGTAACAAATAAAACATAAAATAAATACTCAAAAATTAATGAGTTTTAACACGATATTATTAAAATTTTCAGCTAGATCCTGGAAATACCTAAATATACATAGCACATCATCGCGTATACGCAATATGTAATACCATGTAAACCAAATTTATAAACCAAAATGTACAAAATTGAAACATGGTAACCGTAACATTTGTACCAACAAAAACAATAATAACCGCGAAATGCAATACCGCGTATGAAATCGAAAACAAAATGTGCCTGCAATATATAATTTAAATTTTTCGTTCTGACTATTACCCGAAGTTGTGCCGAGTTAAAGCTTTAATCCTAAATCGGTACGAGAGCAAAAAATCAAAGATTTCAATTATGTTTTATTAAAAGTTTTGTTTTTTTTTTCGTAATAGCCTAATGATAGGCCTGCCATTCAGTAAAAAAATTTGATACTGGCTTTTATTAGAGAAGATGTTAGAGGGTAAAGGCCACACTGGAGAGGTGAAACATACGTTACATATCCAGTTTATCTCATAACCAATATATATATATATACACACATACATCTACTTTCGCTGAAGGTTATATTTACTTTTTGTCTTTTTTCTATCTAGATTCCTACCTCTATCTTGTTCGTTCTAATTACATTTATGTATATTATTCTGTTTTCCTTTATCTTTGTTTTTATCTTTATACTCTTTCGAAAACAAAATCGATAGTAACATCCATCAGTATATCGATAAAAAAACCGACAAAAATTTATATAACAAAATCGGTTAAAATATCAAAAACAAAATCGTTACCAAATATAGATAACAAAGTCAATAACGAAATTGAAAAAAACGTCGATACAAAATCAATAACAAATTTGTAAAAAATATCGATAGCAAAATCGATAACAGAATCGATAGCGCAATCGATTATAACATCCGCAACAAAATCGATAAAAATTTCGATAACAAAATCGATATGGATAAAAAAAAAATATAGATAACAAATTCGGTAAAAATATCGATAAAAAACTTGATAAAAAAGTTGATTATTATATCGCGAAGTTTCGAGATTATCGATATCAAAATCGATAACAATATCGATAAAAAGATTGATAACAAATCGATAAAAATATCGATAACAAAATCGATACAAATATCGATAAAAACATCGATTACTATATCGATAATCTCTAAAATCCGGAAATAGGTTCGAGATCAAGTCTGTGTCTCTCTATTTATATGCTTTTCTCTATAATTACCTTTATTTTAATCTGTCTTCAACTTTACTTTTATCGATATCCTCATTTCATCTTTTTCTTTTTATTTATCTTTGTTTTTACTTTATCATTTTCTTCATCTGCATATCGATGGCTGAGTGGAAGATCGACCTATCTCGGCAGCCAGTTCGAAAACGCTCTATCTCAAAAAACTTTTCAAGAACGCCCTATTTCAGAATT